CGTGGCAAGGACTCCCTGAGTGCGCCTCTCCAAGGCCATCCTATGTCCCGAGCTCAAGTTAGCTGGGACCAGGCCCTCGGGGGTCTGAGCTCTGGGGACCTTGGGGATCCATCTGTAGGGGACAGTTCCTCCACAGCCTGAGCACGGTCTGAGTGGCCCGCGCTGCAGCCCAGGGACTGTCCTAGTCACCACTGCTGTAGGCCCTGAGCCCCAAGGCCCTCCGGGACTCAGGACACCAGCCTCTTCCCCTCTACAGAGACCTCCTGACTGGCTCCAACAGCACAACTCGGGTCCAGCCCACGGCTCTGCTGTTGCCCCAGCCTGCACCCTGGCCATCATGGCGCCGAGAGCCCCCAACCCCCTCCCTCTGCTCAGTCAGCCTTGGAGACAGCTGAGCTGGGCCTCCTCCTCCAGGAGGCCCCCACGTGGGACCCAGTGCCTGCACAGCTCCTGGCCCGGGGCCAGTGAGAGCTGCAGGCCAGGCAGAGGCAAACACAGGCGCAGTGAGCTTCTGGCTCCTTGGGGATCCCCGTCGTGGCCCCCGTGCATCTCCTCATCTGCGCGCCGGAGGTTGAGCAACGCAGGGCAAGGGTCCCGTCCAATCCAGGCACCATCCACACAGGCTGCTGGACGCCGTGGCTGGATTCCGAGAGGCGGCAGGCAGGCAGCGGAGGCCCCGCAGGTGGGGCGTGGGGCTGCCCTCCCCTAGTCCCATCCAGCCCGGGCTCCTGGGCCTTGAGGGTCTCAGTGGGGTCAGGGTGGAGCTGCCAGGGTGTACCGGGCCTCCTGGTCCCAACGAAACTCCAGACTCTCTCGACGAAAGCCTGGGCTCGTATCCCGGACAGCAGCTCGACCAATCCACCACAGCCGTGTCCACGAGAGGCCTACCGCATGTCATGGACAAGCACTCCCACACATCTTCCCAGATCCTCCCCTGGGGCCCAGGCAAGGGTGCTCAGAGTCCCCACAGATGGGAGACCCAGGCTAGGAGAGGTCAGGGATGTGCCCACAGCTCTGGCGTGGGTGGGTGGCAGAGCAGGCATGTGGCCTGGCTGCTGGATGGGGCTGGGCTGAGGCCGCTCAGCTCAGAGGAGGGAGCCCTGTGGGGGAGGGAGTCAGGGAGGGGGCGGGAAAGGAAGGCCCAGAGGTGGGAAGCCCCAGCTAAGTGTCCAGGAAGCGGGTACGGCACACGCCTTCATATCATGGAGGCAGCGTGATCCTGATCCCCGGCCAGAGGGTCCGTGTGAGGCCAGGACTCCTGCCTGGATGTCCATTGTTTCCATCGCTGCCGCCAAGGCTGGCTTTGGGGTCCCCGGTCCAGCTGCCCTTGGTTCCACTCGACTGGGGACCTGGCCTCTCTCCAGGTTAGGCATGGATGCTCTCTGGGCTTCTTGGTTTTTCAGGATCTCCTTGGCCAAGAGCATGGTGAGCTGTCGCCAGGCCCCAGTGGCTTGTGGGATCAACAAGCTTTGGTGGTAGCAGGTGGGGTGTCAAGCTCTTGAGTGCAGGCTGGCCTTGGCCAAGGGTCAGGTCAGGCTGGGGTCTCCTGGGGGGGGAGGCCAGAGTTCATGCAGGCACCCCGCCCATGGGCTCCCACTGGTTTTCACCCAACCCCAGCCCAACTCTACCCTGTGTTGCTTTTGGAAATGTTGCAAAACCCTGGCCCGGTTTTGCTGGCTCCCCTCCCTAGCGGGTGAGAGGACACACAGAGTTGAGGCAAGTGGAGGCCAGAAGCAAGGCCTTCCCTGCCTCGCCAGGTTGCCACTGTGGGCGGGTGCTGCAGGAGGGGGGCTGGGCCCAGCTGGGGGCCAGGGCAGGAGGGAAGCGGCTGCAAAGCAGACACTGTCTGGGAGACAGCAAGCCAGGGGCACGGGCTGGGGAGAGGACCACCCCAGGAAGGCCGAGGGTTCCTGCACTGGGAGTGGAGGCTGGAGGGGCTGAGGCTGAAAGCTGTGACCGTGGGCCAAGTCACGGGGACTCACTTGTGGGACAGTGGGACGGAACCACTGAACCATGGGCAGGCAAGCGATGGATGGGGGAAGGTGAGGGACCCTCCAGGACTGGCCTAGGTTGAGGGGTATGAAGAGGCCAGGGAAGGGCTGACCAAACCTGTGGGATGCTAGGGGGAGCTGGAAAGGGGCATATCGAGGAGGCCTTAGTTGTTGGTGTGGGGACTGGGGCAGACAAGATAGCCAGGGAATAAGGAAAAGGGCCCAGGGCAGGCCTGAGCCCCAGGGTCTGGGGGAGTGTGGGAGAGCACTCCCCCAGTACGTGCCCTCCCTCCTCATTCCCCAGCTGTGATGACGCCCAGCTCTGTGGGTGTGTTCATACGCATGTGAGAGTGTGCGTGCATGTGTGTGTGAGATACAGACTGTGGGTGACCCAGGCTGTCTTCTGTCCACCCCGCTCCTCCTTCGTAGTCCCGGAGACCAGCCTGCCTCCGGTCACCACGGCAACAGCGCATCCCCTCCCGCCAGCAGGACATAGGGTGACCTATGGGGCCAGCTGTTTCCAGGGCCAGAGGCGGGCAGGGAGCCTCGGGGGGATCCTGCCCCGCTCTCCACCTCAGCAAGCAGCTGCCTGCAGAGGACAGGGACTGGAAGAGGCACCTGGCTCGGGTGAAAGTCTGCCCCTTCAGCAGGATGGCCCCATGCATGGAGGTGTCTACAGCACAGGGGCCTGAGCCCCACACACCTGGAAGGGTGACGGGAGGCCAAGGGACAGGCCTGGCTCTCTGTGGTCGGAGGCAGCAGGATAAGGACCCCGCACCTCAACCTTCCCTCTGAGCCCACGACTGGTGGCCCCCACCCCGCCGTGTGCTGGGGTATCTCCAGGCCTGCTGCTCATGGACTTCCTGGCTGGGCCACAGCTACCTGTGGGCTCCAGAGCCTACTACCTGCGTCTGAGGGGCTGCCGACAGGACACACCACTTTCTGAGGAAGTGTGACAGCATGCTGCTCTGAGTCTGGGGAGACTCAAGGTCTTCAGATCAAGACTCAGGAGCTCCCCCCACCCCGCCCGCCACCCCAGGATACTGGCCTCCCAAGGCCAAGGACCCACTGGGCACACAGACCAGGGCATGTGAGGAGGACTGGCCTGGAGCCTCACCTGAGGGGCTGGGGGCCCACTAGGGAGGCCACTGGAGACCTCAGTCCCTGTCCAAGGAGTCAGGCCTGCCTCAGAACCACATCTTGCTGTGGTCATCACCTAGACCCAGAAGAACCTACATCAGTCCCACCCTCCCAGCCCCAGCACAGGCCATAGGTCTGGAAACCCATTAAAGCCTGACCTGAGGGCACTCGCTCTCCAGGGGTTAGGCTCTGGGACCCTCTGCTTGTCCTTGGAAGGACCCCCAAGTGGACAGTAGCCCTTCCTTCCTTGCCAGCGCTGCATGGATTGGGCCAAAGGGGTGGGCTCCTGCCTCCTACCACGGATCTGACCCTGTGGGGGCCCTGCCCCACAGGCCCATGCTGCAGGATGGTGGATAGAGCTCCTGTAAGGCAAGAGCCCACGAGCTGGACCAGGAGAGGGTCCACTTTCTGATCTGAGACAGTAATAGGGGCAGTGAATGGCAGCGAAGGCGGAGGGTCTTGGGGGAGGCTGGGTGTGCTGGGGGATCCAGCAGGGCAGGCCCCGGAGGCACGGGAGTGTGCATGTCTGCGGGGCACTCCTGAAGGCTGTGGCTGCCACGGTTAGACCCCAGCCTAGCCCACATGCGCCACAAAGGCCTCACACAGCACCCACAACGCCAGCACCTTGGCTTCTCGGCTTCCCCAACCCTCAACCCTCTCTGAGATGGGGAAAGGAGCCAGCGGGTGTGGAAGCCCCTTCTGTGGCTGCTGCAGCTGGCAGAGAGCTGCTCACACTGAGTCCAGGACAGTTCAGGCTGGTGACCTTGGGTCGAGGTCAGCAACTCATAAGGGCTGACCACTTCATACAGGTGATTCTGTGTAGCCCTGAAGGCTCAAGTGGACCTCGGTTGTCTCGGGCCCTGACTGCCATGATCGAGGTGGAGTCCCTAGGAAAGGCGGAGAGCCGCAGGGCCTGGAGGACAGCCAGGTGGGTGGAGAGCGGGGACCTGTGTTCCAAGTATGGGGACAGCAGAGCAAAGGTTCCAGGGAGGGGAGGCGTGGCCAGGTAGGGACCTCGGGCTGCGGGCTTGAGGTCAAGCGCCGGTCAGAACGTTGGCCCCGGGGCGAGCAGGGGGCGCCCAGGGCTGGGTCAGCATTTAGCCCACGTAAGGGGCTGCGAGTTCCAGAGCGCGGACGCTGAGCAGGGTCTCGCAGGTCCTCGCGGGGGAGGCACGGCGTCCCTCTGCGCTGGGCCGGCTGCGCGCGAGGGGGCACGGACCGCCGGAGACCCACTCGCACGGCCCGAGGCACACGGGGGTCGTCTCCTGGACTCCCGCCCCGGCTCGGGACCCCGCGCTCACGACAGCCCTCGCCGTGCTGCCGCCCGCTCGGAGCGCGGCGGAGGTGGGCGCGCGTTCCGCCGCCGACCTTCCCCGGCTCGGCCTCGGGCGGGACTGGTGAGTCCCCGCCCCGCCCGCGCGCCTCCATTGGCTGAGGCCTCGGAGCCCTTGGAAACCCCGACTACCATTGGCTCCCGCGGCCCCGCCCCACACGCCTCGGCCACCGCCCGCGCAGGAGCTGCGCGTGCGCGGTGTGAGTGCGTGCGTGCGTGTGTGCGCGCGTGTCTGTGTGTGCGTGTCCGCGCGTGCGCGCGCGCGGGGGCGGGCTGACGTGTATGGCCGCGCCACGCTGTGCGCCTCCGCGGCTCCAGTACAGCGAAGCTAGTTCCGGGCGGATCGCCGCGCTCCCCTGGCACACCGGCCCTCGCCGACCCGGGGGGGCGGCGCCCAGCCCCGTCAGACCGTCGCCTCGGCCGCCCGCGCGCTTTCCCGGGGGCGACCCCGCGGCGACGACCGCGGCGGAAGGGGGCGGGGTTCCACTCGCCCCGCCCCCGCGGAGGGATACGGTCGCCGCGGACCAAAAGCCCGGGGCGAGGCGGCCGGGGCGTGTGAGCGGCTCTCTGCGCGCGTGCACGCGGTCCACGCGCGGCTCGGCCCGGGCCCCCTGCGCCGCGCGGACTGCCTCGCCCGAGCGGGTCTCGGCGCTCCCGCTTCGCGCCGCGGCCGCGTCCGTCCGAGGCTCGGGGCCCCGCGCGGCGCCGGGAGGCCGCCCTCTCGCGTCTGCGGCCGCGCGGGGAGCCGGGCCAGGTGAGCGGCGGCGGAGAGCCCGGGTGCCGCGGGCCCGCGCGCCGCTGCCGCCCGCGATGCTGCTCTCCAAGTTCGGCTCCCTGGCGCACCTGTGCGGGCCGGGCGGCGTGGACCACCTCCCGGTGAAGATCCTGCAGCCAGGTAGGCGCGGGGCCGGGGCCGGGGCGGGAGCCGGGGCGCGGGGCCGGGGCCGGGGCGCGGGGCCGGGGCGCGGGGCCGGGGCGCGCCGGGCCGCACCAACCCCGCCCGCGCGCGGTCCCCACAGTGAAGGCGGACAAGGAGAGCTTCGAGAAGCTGTACCAGGTGGGCGCCGTGCTGGGCAGCGGCGGCTTCGGCACCGTCTACGCGGGCAGTCGCCTCGCCGACGGGCTCCCGGTGAGTCGGGCCGCCGGGCGGACCCCCGGATTCTCGCCCGCCGCGCGTGCCGCCGCGTCCCCGCCGGGCCTGACCGTCCGTGTCGCCCCCCCCCCCCAGGTGGCCGTGAAGCACGTGGTGAAGGAGCGGGTGACCGAGTGGGGCAGCATCGTGAGTGCGGGCGCCGTGGGGCGGACGCCAGGGTCGGCGGGGGCGGGCCGCCGCGGCGCGGGGCGCGCTGACCGGCCGCTGTGTCCCCCCAGGGCGGCGCGGCCGTGCCCCTCGAGGTGGTGCTGCTGCGCAAGGTGGGCGCGGCGGGCGGCGCGCGCGGTGTCATCCGCCTGCTGGACTGGTTCGAGCGGCCCGACGGCTTCCTGCTGGTGCTCGAGCGGCCCGAGCCGGCGCAGGACCTCTTCGACTTCATCACGGAGCGCGGCGCCCTGGACGAGCCGCTGGCGCGCCGCTTCTTCGCGCAGGTGCTGGCCGCCGTGCGCCACTGCCACAGCTGCGGGGTCGTGCACCGCGACATCAAGGACGAGAACCTGCTGGTGGACCTGCGCTCGGGCGAGCTGAAGCTCATCGACTTCGGCTCGGGCGCGCTGCTCAAGGACACGGTGTACACCGACTTCGACGGTGAGCGCGCCGCCGGCCGCCGGGGACGCCCGCGGGGGCCGCTGACTGTTGGAGGCCGCGCGCGTGGGGAGCGGGTTCGCGGTGGGGGGGGGGCGGGCTCGAGACCGCCTCCGCCAGCGGGGCTGGGGCGCTGGGGGCCGCGGGCGGGGGCGGGGCGCGGGGGGCCGCGGGCGGGGGCGCGCCGGGAGTGCCCGGGTCTCCCCGTGCGTGGGGCGGACGCTGCGTGCGTGCCGAGCGGGGGCGGCGCCGCAGAGAACCCCGCATTGCGGAGCGCGGGGAAGCCGGGGCTGCCGGCGCCTGCGTCCCCCCGCGCCCCGCCTGCGCTGTCCTTGGGTCACATCTGTTTGTTGTGAAACCCGAGCCCTGGCTCATGTGACCCGCCCCTCCCCCGACCGGGCGGGCCAGCTGGGGAGGCCGCGCCCGCCGGGCTTTTCCAGGGTGATGACGGGCAGGATTTCTGGAGGCCGCTGCCGCCTCGGGGCCGGCCTCCCCGGGGGACTGGGAGGGCGGGGGCGCGGGGGCTCGGCGCTGGTCCCTGGGCGAACGCCCTGACGGCCCCGCGCCCCCGCCCCAGGCACCCGGGTGTACAGCCCCCCGGAGTGGATCCGCTACCACCGCTACCACGGGCGCTCGGCCACGGTGTGGTCTCTGGGCGTGCTGCTCTACGACATGGTGTGCGGGGACATCCCTTTCGAGCAGGATGAGGAGATCCTCCGCGGCCGCCTCTTTTTCCGGAGGAGGGTCTCCCCAGGTGCGTGGCGGGTGCGGGGCTGGCGCTGGGAGCCCGAGGAGCCCGCCCCTTCCTGACCCTGCGCCCCCCTCCCCGCAGAGTGCCAGCAGCTCATTCAGTGGTGTCTGTCCCTGCGCCCCTCGGAGCGGCCCTCGCTGGACCAGATCTCCGCGCACCCCTGGATGCTCGGGGCTGAGGGGGGCCCCGCCGAGAGCTGTGACCTGCGGCTCTGCGCGCTGGATGTGGACGACGGGGCCAGCACCACGTCCAGCAGTGAGAGCTTGTGAGGAGGAGCCCGGGCCTGGCCGGTGGGAGCCAGAGGGACCAGCCCCGCCCGAGCCGGCTGCTGCTTGCGGAAGCAGTGACCTCTGGCGCCGGGCTCTCTTCTTTGCTTTGAGTGCCTTTCCGAACGCTGCTCTCACGGGACTTGGTCCTCTCAAGCTCTGTCTGTCCAAAGACGCCCCGGTCGATGTGAGGTCCGGCCCGGGCCGGGCAGGGGCGGGACCCTGAGACTGTCCCTCTCCTGCGCTGCTCTGGGCGGCTGCCGTGCTGGCCCTCCGCGCCTCCCCCGTCGGACCGTGTGGGACCAGGAGCATGTCCCGTGGCCTCATCTCACCAGGGACGTGGGGTCCCTTGTGCCCACTTCCCGCGCCCGCTTGCCTCCGGTGTTCGTCTGGGCACGTCTGTGCACAAACAATGCAACGGCGGGGCCTCTGCTGTCCGTGCGTGCCCGAGAGTGTGTGCGCCTGCTCTCGTCTGTTTCTGGTCTGACCCCGAGGAGGGCTATTTATTGTCTAATTTATTTGTGGAGGTTCTCTCCTGCCAGCGCCCCCGGCACCTCTGGGCCCGGAGGTGGGGGCATGGCTGTGTGTGGACCTCAGGTCCTGATCCTACCTGTGTCTGTCGAAGATGGACTTGTACAGCGGCTAATTTAAGGGGTGAGGGGGACCCCGCCGCCTGTGGCTCTGCGCCTCGGGGGTGGGGGGAGTGGGGTAGGGGTGGGTTTTAAATTATTGACCTTGTACAGTCTGCTTGTTGGCTCTGGAGGTGGGGGGTGGGGGGACAGAGTCTCAAGCCGTTAATTTATTGTAGCAGCTGTGTTTTTGGGTCCCGGTGTGTGTAGGCATCGAGGATGGGGTTTCTTTCAGTTCACAAGTGAGATGTCCGGAGATCATATTTTTTATACAGTATTTCAATTAAATTGTTTTGTATATAATTTTGTGTTTATTGGGCAGGACGGTTGGGTCAAAGGTCTGGGGAAGGGGCCCCTGAGCAGCCCCCTTCTTGTCACCCCATGATCCCCATCCCCCCACTGCCCCGAGGGCTTTTGCCACCCCTAGTCTGGAGAGTGTGCCTGTGGGTAGTCCTGGGGGGACCTTCTTGCCTCTGTTACTAGAGATGCCCAGAGGTGGGAAGAGAAGGTGGCCTTTGCTCAGGCCACTCAGGGAGAGGGATCTGCACTGTTGGGCAGACGGTTGGAAGGGGTTTTGGAGGATGAGTAGAAGTTTGCCAGGTGGAGGGGTGAGAAGGCATTCCTTGCACACACTACAGGAGTAAGTGGAGCCAGGTGAGGGGCGCGTGCTGGCTGGTGCAGCCTCGGTCTGACCGCTGAAGGGTAAGGTAGCAGGTAGAAGCCACAGCCAGGTCCAGGTGTGGAAATGTGGCCCAGCCCCAGCGCGAAGGGCAGGCTGAGTGGAGGCTTCGGTCAGATCCGGCCCCTCGGGGCCCTCTGCTTGGCGGCTCCTGTGCTGGAGGGGGTGAAGCAGCCGCGGGCCGCAGAGTGGCTGCTCCGGGGCTCGCAGCCCGGAGCCCCTGGAGGCCTGTCACTGGGTCCCACAGCCCCGCCGGTGCCAGCTCCCTGTCCCGTCCACAGAGCACGCGCACCCTCGCCTGCCCCAGTGCCTGCTAATGGGTCCCTGGGGACTCAGAGCGGGATGAAGGAACGTCCCGAGGCCACAAGCGGGGACAGTCTGGAGGAGATGAAGCCCTCGTGTCCGTTGGGTGGGGGTGGCGGGGGACAGGTAGGAGGGCTGCGGCGGGGAGGGGGTGGCTCCTGGCTTGATCTTGGCCCTGCGGGGAGTCAGTGGATGTTTGTGGCCTGCTTGGGGCCTGGGGAGTCTTTCCCGAGGGATCCCCAGGGGTGGCCCCCCTCAGCACAGGCAGATGCATAAAGCAGGGGGGTGTTTGGGGAGACAGTCCACCTGTTCCCCCCCCCACCCCCGCCAGCCTGCTGTGGCTCCTCCCACACCCCTTGCCAGGACAGGGACTCTGGGTAGGAGCCTTGGGCCTCATGGGCTGGGGCTTGGGTGGGGGACTATGCAGGGAGAGTTGAGCCTAGGGCTTCTGCGTCCTCCTCTGGTGACCATGACTCCCAGGTCACTGTGATGCCAGCTCCCCCACCTGCCCTCTGAGGATGCCAGGCTGCTCTTGGCACTGCCCCCTCCCCCTGCATTAGCCTATCCTCACCTGAGCATCCGTCCACCCACGCAGCCGTCCAGCCGTCCCCCGTGGCGCTCACGTCTGGGGGGACCCCGAGGCAAGCGCTTGTGGGAGGGCCAGGACCCTTCACCCTCGGGCGCTCAGAGCTTGCTGCTGGGGCGAGGCCAGGGTCTCTTGGACATGCTGTGGAGGGCCAGTCTCTGGTGCGGATGTGGCGAGGATGCTCGGGAGGGCACAGGGTCATCGAGAGGGCAAGGGGTCACCGTCGGGAGGTTAGCAGGAGGGGCTTGCCCTGTACGGGGAGTGCTGGAGCCCCTGGGGCGCCCACGCCAGGGGACGTTCTGACTTCCCACTCCCTGGGATCATTGAAGGTGGGACGGGATCAGGCTAGCCATGCGGGGACAGTCCCGGGGGTGGCCACTGATGGGCTCGCGGGATGCGGATGCGGATGCTGGGGCCACAGGGTGTCTTTGGCCCCAGATCCAGGGGTGCTGCTGGGGGAAGCCCAGGCCAGTGTGTGTCAGGGTGGTCACGCAGGGAGTGAGCCTGAGGTCCGGCAGAAGATGGGGGGCCGGTACCTACCAGCCCAGGTGGTGTGACCCTGGGCAGAGGGCCCAGTCCCGGGGCAAGAGGGAGAAGACGGGAGAAGGCTGAGAGCGGGCAGCTTGGCCGTCCTCACCCCTTTGGCCTAGCCCTGCGCCCCTCTGTCTCCACGCTGGCCGTACTAGCCTGGGCACCCCAAGCACCAGGGCCATGGGACACTGTGGCCTGCCCAGTCCTGGGCTGGATGCTATGGGCATCCCTCAGGCAAGGGCTCGCAGCCAGGTCATGCTTGGGGAAACTGAGGCCCTCATGTAGATGCTGGAGCATGGCTCCGGCCCCCACTGTGATACCCTCACATGTCAGCGAGCAGCTGAGAGCGAGGCTGGACACTCCCGCTGGGGTGGGCCTGGAGCCGGGGAGGGGGCCTGCATCCAGGACCCCAGCAGTGGGAGCAAGGCTCAGACCACAGGAGAGGCAGAGGGTGTGGCACCCGGTGGGAGGAGCTTTCCTGGCTGGCCAGGTACTGCCATGGGCAGAGCCCCAGGTCTGAGGCACAGGCAGAAAGCCAGAGCTGTGGCTGTGAGCCCTGCCCTGTCCCACCCCTGCCACATGAGCCCCCTGGCTGTTCCCTCTGCATCGGACACCCCCACCCCCTGGCTCTAAGACACAAACCTGGTGCTCGGTCAGGATCCCAGGGACCAGACTGCACCCCCCGGCCTGCCCTTGCCCTAGTCCCCACAGTCAGCACAGGGACCTCTCCTGGTTCCTGCTGGGATCTGGTTGGGGGTGCTCAAGCGCCCCCCATCCTGGGCCCCTCCCACCCCGGAAGGCAGCCTCCAGGGCTACAACACCTCTCATTGGGGGTCCAGGGTCAGGTGAGCTAGGCCAGCCCCAGGGCAGGCCGGTCTCTTGGGCCCGGGACCAGTGGGGCCTGGGGTGGGCCAGCCTCTGACTCCCCACGCCCCCATCTGACACTGTCCCACTTCTGGGTGCAGGGCTTCTGCAGAGTGTGGGGGGCTAGGGAGCTTCCATGGGCCCCTCACCCCTGAGCGGACAGCACTTTGCAGTCCCCGGCATCTGCGGGAGCCCCTCTGCTGGGGAAGGGTCTGTTGCACTCATCAGACCAGTGCTGCCTGAGGGGCCTGTGGGGGGTGGCTAGGGGAGGGGTGTCCGCTAGCATGGACCCTCCTGGGGGTCTGCTGCTGTGGGCCGGGCCCCACCCCCCTGAGGCTGGGATGGTGGCTGTGTGGACGGCTTGGGGCAGCTCCCACTGTCCAACCTCCTCATTTACAATATCTGGGTTCTGTGACTCTCAACGCTCCTTTAGAGTCACTTGGTTGGCTCTGCAGTGTCCCTCCTTCAGGGACGCCCCTGGGGGGGTTGCATGGAATGCAGAAATCATTGTGGCAAGAACCAAAATCCTGAACTGAATCTAGGTCCTGCCTGGGCTCCCCTGGCCCCTTCCCTCCCGGGGCAGCAGGCTACGCCCGTCTGCGGTCCAAGCTTCCAGCGGTTTGCTCGTGGCCAGGCCCTCGGAGGGGAGGTGGGCGCTGACTGCCCACGAGGTGGGGGTGCGGCATCCAGGCCCCTTGCCTACTGGCCTGAGACCCCCCGGCTCCTGGGAAGAGCAGACACGGGTCCAGAACAGCTCCTGCCGTGGTCAGAGACTTAAGTTTCTGCTCTCTGGTGCGGCCCCGAAACAAAACCTTGGCGCGCCTTTGGTGCCAAAGCTTCACGGAAAAGGGAAGTGATCCCTGGCAGGACCCCAGGAGCCCCACCTGCCCCTCCTGGGCCTGCAGAAACCAGCTGGCCAGGGAGCCCCCATGCTCGTGAAGGTCGTGCAAGAAGGAAATGCGATCGGGCCGTTAGGGCCACTCCTGAGGCGGGTAGCAGAGGCCTGGATGGGCAGGGGCTCAGGGAACCCCCGCGCCGCATGGGGTCCCAGGAGGCGTGGGACACGCCTGCACCCCCCCCCCCAGCTGGAGGCACCCTGGGGCCCTCTGGAGAAGGCTTCTGGAGGGACACTGTGTGGACAGTGATGGGCACGGCCAGAGGTCACAAGTAGGCGATGAGCCAGACCTGGAGTCGAGGGATGGCCAGGAACTCACCGGGCCCCCATTCATCTCCTGCCCTGGGCTGTTGCCGAGGGGGTGCAGGAACCCAGCGGAATTGCTAGCCCTGGGGTTTCTCAATGGGCCCTTCCCCTCTCCAGAGGTCTCTGATTGGGGGGTGGCGAGGTTGCCGAGCCTCTAGCACATGACTTGCTGGCCAGCCTTGGCAAAACCCTGAGTTCGATTACACAACTGAGCCCCGGAGTTCCTGGCAGTCAGGCCTATCGGGCTGGGTGGGGGCAGGGCCTGCCCCTCCAGCACAAGTCACTGCCCTCCTGGCCCCGTCAAGGCAGGAAAGCTCTTCCTGGGAGGCTGGGCCCATGTATTGGCCAGAGTAGGATGGGGTGGGATGGGAGAGGTCCATTCCCGGATCAAAGAACAGCAGCCTCCTTTGGGGGAGGGGTCATCCGTACCCAACACTGAATGACCCCAGTGGAGGAGGCTGGGTCGGGGCCCACCAAAGGTCAGAGGCGCCAAATGGGCCCACCCCACCCTATGAGGAGGAGGAGGGTGCCCTGGCGTGGGCTGGACCTCATCTTCCCAGCATGGGACTCAGCAAGGCGAGCTCCCTCTGATCTGGGATCTGGCCCTCTCACCTGTCCTGCCAGGAGGCCACCTGCCCTGATCTGAGGCT